CTGCCCCCCCAAATGAGATTAAAAAATTATGAATTACTTGCAGCAGTTCTTCAAACATGAATTGTATTCTAACGTGAATTGCAGCTCCCCCCCCCAGCCCCCACATCTGTGAAAAGAGGTGCCAGCCTACCATTCTCCCGGTCAGGATCAGCCACCGCCTGCCACCCCCAAACCGAGCGAGTGGTTCAATCACACTGGAGTGGGAACAGAACGGGCAGAGCCAGTAAGGTCATGGGGTGCCAGCAGAAGAAGGCGACCGGCTGGCTAATCGTGGGCAGCCTGGGCAGGGCGCAGCAAGTCAGAAGGCACAGAAACATTACGGCCGTCTGGAAAAGGCGGTGTATGACCGGCCAGCTGGAGGCAGGGCATGATACGGCATGGCTGAACTGATGCAAATAATTACTTTTTAAAAAGTTTTCTAAAAGATAATTTTGTGGGGCGTGGCTGTAAATTTAGGGGGGTGGGACCCTGTGATGCCCCACCGTAGCTACGGGCCTGCCCATTACTGAGTTCCAGGAAACAGGAGGTGGTGTAAGGGGGTTGGGAGTTTACAGAAGCAAAATTTTCTCCTTGTACAAGAAGTTGTGCCTTCTGCTTCCATGAAAGGGTTTCAACCCAATGAATGCTAGCCTGGGATTTTGATTGTAAACAGAGTTTAAAATAGGCTTGAGCTTGGAGGGGCTTTCCCCACAACTTCTTATCTTAATTTAAACTCAATGAATTGATTTTTTAAATACGTGCCTGTATTTAGAGAAACCAGAAACTTAATTTAAACTCAGTAGATCAATTTTTAAAAATGGGCTTGCCTTGGAGAAACCAGATTCCCTTATGATGAAGAAGGTTCTGTAATCCTCAGAATTAGTATGGAGAATGTACTCTAAGGCTGCAGTCGCACACACTAAACAATCCACTTTCAATCCATTTTCAGTACACTTTCCAACTTGATTTTACTGTGTGAACTGGCAAAATCCAGTTGGAAAACACACTGAAAGTGGATTGCAATAATAAGAAGAGATTGGATTTATACCCCACCCTTCACTTCCCAAGGGAGTCTCAGAGTGGCTTAACAACTCCTTTCCCTTCCCCTCCCCACAACAGACACCCTGTGAGGTAGGTGGGGCTGAGAGAACTCTGACAGAAACTGCTCTTTTTCAAGAATAGCTGTGCCAGAATTATGGCTTGCCCAAGGTCATCCAGCCAGGTGCAAGTGGAGGAGTGGCGAATCAAACCCGGTTCTCCCAGATTAGAGTCTGCACACTTAACCACTACACCAAACTGCAAGTGGCTTGTATAGTTTGTGTGACTGCAGCCCAAGAGAGTTTTCCGTGGTGAATGCTGTAAGGTACCGAATCTGAAGCTACTTTTGGGAGGGGACGGTTACAACACAGAAGAGGGTGTTGTGACACTTCCATCTACTGGGTGACATGAGCAGAAAGCCAGACAGGCTGTCCAATAAATTGCCAATATTTAAGTACTGAGGCAGCAGCAACTTTCCTCTCCCTTTTAGATAGCAGGGCCCCTGCCACACGGCAGGGAAAACATAGTTAAAAGTGCGGCTTTTAAAAGCCGCACCAAAGTTGAGACGCCGCGGTGGGATCCCACGGATCCCCTAAGTCGCGGTGCGTCGCTCCCCGGCACGATCAGATGCCGGGGAGGAAGAGTCGGAGGGAAGGGGGAGGCTGCCGAACTGCGCATGCTCAAGCATGCGCAGTACGGCCGGGGGCCGGGATGCGCCGGTGCAAGGACCGCGCCGGCGATCCCACGGCCCGGATTGAGGCGCCCCATTCAAAGAACCACCAAGGTAGGTGGTTCTTTTTTAGTGCGGGTTTTTGGGCGGGAGGGACGGATCGGGGACGCAAGCAGCACGATTCCCAGATGTTGCTGTGGGATTGTGCACGTTTGCTGCATCCCCGTTCCGTCCCTCTACCGGCCCAAAACCGCTTGTGTGACCGGGGCCCAGGATTGCCAAAATCACCAGGGGGGAAAAGACCCAGCCTGGTCTGTCCTGTCTTCTGTACCTATATGAGATATAGCAGATGCGGCCTTTCAAAGCATGAAGGTGGATTTGCTAGAATCTGTACGGAGATGCTGTCACAGATATACCTAGAAGAGCCAACTGAAAAGTCTGTATCCCCATTAGAGAGATACAAGAGGGGGACCCGGGATACTCGCGGGGGGGGGATCTCATATCACAAACACACACACTTTCTCCCCGGGCTCCCCTGCAGGTGCCCAGACCCACTGGTTCCCTCCCCCCGTGGCTTGTTTGGAGCTGCTCCAGACGGCCTCGCCAAGGCTCCCCCCCCTGGTAGTTTGTCCAGTACTGCTCTGGACAGGCTGAGCTCGCTGAGGCTTCCTCTCCCCCTTAAGGCCATTTCAGCAGGCGCTACGGTGCCGCATGCCAAGAGGCACTCTTCATCAAGCTGGGGCCTCGGGCGTCTGACCTCATCAGCCTGCCTGAGGTGGGTCAAGGCTGGGGGTGACCACGGGAACTTTCCGGGTGGGGCGGACAGCCGTTGCCTAGCAATTCCTCCATGCCGCCGCGAGTAACCCCCCCCAAAAGCCTCCCAATCTTAAACGGAGGACGAAGGACCGGTTAAGAGTGGAGGACTCTAATCTGGAGAACTGGGTTTGATTCCCCACTCCTCCACGGGAAGCCTGCTGGCTGACCTTGGGCCTAGCCGACATAACCGAGTTAAAACAGAGTCTGGCTGCGTACCTCTTTCTCCCGGCCTCTCTCGCGGGAAGTGAAGCATGGAGGCGGCACTAAGGTGCTCCCCGGCTTGCGTTCTCTCTCTCACTCTCTTCCTCTGCCAGCTTGCCCCTTTTCGCTGAGGCAGTGTAGATGCTTGGCCAGGGTGCCCGCTGGCCTTCCTTCATGCTTTTGAGGCATCGGGGCGGCGGCGCCGCTGCCGCCACCGAGCGGGCTCATTGTGGGTGGTTACCATGGCTGAGGCAGCAGAAGAGCCCGGAGGACGAAGGACCGCGGAGGAGGAAGGGCTGAGAGTGGTGGCAGGGAAGGGAAGTAAGTACGCTTCTGGGAGGGCGCTGTTGAGATCAGGCTCCAGAGGGCTGCAGCAAAGGAGGCCAGGGCGGCAAAACGGTTAAGCGGGCTTCTCCCCCCCCACGAGGAAGTTCCTAGAGCGTTCCCTGCGCATGCGCAGGGGACGCTCTCTCACTTTTGGGGGGATTTAAGTATCCCCCCGATAATTTTTTTAAGGTTTCAGATTTTTGTGCACACCTGGGGACCGCCCCACGTGTGCACAAAACTCTCCCTCCCCCACAGGTGCCCCCGGTGCACGGATTTAGGTATCCGCACGCACGGGGGCCATTTCACTATTAGATATATAGATGATGATATTTGGGGGGAAAGAGAAAGACACTTGTTCTGTCTGGTACCCAGCTGCAGCTGAGCTGAGCACTTTCTAGATTGTGAGCAATGCAGCACAACACTGATAGGCATGTCCTATAACTTTGGCCTTCCTGAGTTAAGAAGTTAGTTGTTTTAATTTCCTTGATGGGGTTGCCTGACTTCTGAGGAGGCTTCACAATAAGGAACAAATTGTTACACTAAGAAAATGACACAGTATATAAGTCAGACTTTTAAAATCAGTAGTCAGAGAGAGAGACCGCCGGCATAGTGTAGTGGTTAAGAGTGGAGGACTCTAATCTGGAGAACTGGGTTTGATTCTCCACTCCTCCACGGGAAGCCTGCTGGCTGACCTTGGGCCAGTCACAAGTTCTCTCAGAACTCTCCCAGCCTCACCCACCTCACAAGGTGCCTGTTGTGGGGAGAGGACAGGAAGGTGATTGTAAGCCACTTTGAGACTTCTTAGGGTAGAGAAAAACGGGCTATAAAAACCAACTCTTCTTTTTCACTTTTTTGGCAGAAAAATGTCAGTAACAGAAACAAACAAATAATCTACAGTGTATTTACAGCATTTTTGATCTACATTCATTTTTTTCTTTTTTAGAAAGACAGACTATAAAGATATTTACAGAGTTCAAACCTATTTACAAAGACAAGAAAAGGCAAACCAACTCTTTCTCTTGTGCCTTGAAAATCCCATGGCGTCACCATAAACTGGTTGTAATTTGACAGCACTTTCCGCCCTCACAGTTTTTTAAAACTATCAAAGAGCAGTAGAAACTAAAATGTTTAAAACCAATTAATGGACATAAGTAACAATAATAAATATTGAAACTAAAAATAACAATAACATTTCAATAAAACAAGGTCCACCAAGGCTTGGCTCCTACCAGCTTTTTCCACTTGCAAAAGAGGTGTAACGGAAAAGGCTGTGCCGGGGATTGTGGGGACAAAGACCACGTGAGACAGGAGCTGCAGGGAGGAGAGGAATCCCAGGAGATCGAGTGGAAAAAGCTGGTTGGATCCTGCCAGATCCAAACATCCCCATGATGTTTTAAATTGAAGTTGGTTTATACGCTTTTGGTGCACCTCTTCTTTTCCATGAATGTTTTCTCATTCTATAAATAAGGAGCAGTTCATTGAATTAAAAGACAAGTGGCCAGATGACTCCTGAAATGGAAGATGCAACAAATTCAGGTGTCTCTTCTGGTGGTTAACATGCTAGTCTTAGTCAACAGGCAAACACAGAAGGGGGACAGGGAGATACTGGGCTGGATCCAAGCAGCTTTTCCGCTAAGTCTTGCCCAAGTCCCCTCTATTCTAGAGCCCCAGCCTCACATGGCTTTTGACAGGCAAGTCCTATAGTTCTCAACATAGCTTCTTCCAGTGGTCAGAGGACCTCACTGTCATTTTTCACCATCAGTAAAGCTAGTTGTCTCCAACCCATTAGCTTGTGCCTGCGCAGATGTTGAAAGAATGAGACTGGGAGTAACATCCAAGGCACAGACAGAAGAGAAGAAAACTCCTGTGTGCTTTTTAGCCCAATGTGAAGCATTGTTTATTATTACTAGCAAATACCACAGATGTGTTTTAATAGGTGCTTTAATAGGTGCTGTATGTTCTCTTTCAGTTGCCAATGAGACGGGAGACAAAAATGCTCGGCCACTTTCACGATTTGCTCGTAAGTAGTCTAGTCTTGTGTTGATTTTACTTCCTTGGTATTATAAATAAGTAAATTTTGAGGCTTCTGTGTACTACCTGCCCAGGAAGAGGAGTCTTCTCCTAAATCCAGATTCACAGAAGTTGACTGTGGTAAGTAAAAAGCAGTTTTGCATGTGTTTTCCATGCCTGAAGGTCACTCCCACCCATCCCAACCTGCCCAAGACTGGAGAAGGCCTTTACTGCTAATCACTGTTATCAGAAGGAAGAATCAAAACAGGTGTGACAGAGATCACACAAACACACGCATGCAGCTTTGATATTAATCAGGGCTGAACAGGAAAAGAAGAGTGGATTTATCACTTCAAGCCCAGCTTAGTTTTCATACTTGTAATTGGGCTCTCCATACTGCTAGAAGTTTTAAAGTGGAAAAACATGTATCCTTTTAAAAATGTTTACCCCTTGAAAATGCTAATGACTACACAGAAAGCCCAGTTTTGATAAGCAAAGCCAAGTGGGGCACGAAGAGTTAAATTCCTTCTTCTCACATGGTCCTGATCCAAATTGCATCTGTGCAAACATGAATTTTGCATTTTTACAGACTTATGAAGCCCTGATAATCTTTGGTCCCGGTCACACAGGCTGGAAAATGCTGGGGGGGGGAAGCGTGGCTGTTTGCCCTGGAGCAAACTAACGCGTGGCCACCGGATCACACGTCCCGCCGACATCCCATGGTTTGGGGGGAGGTGCCGATCACACAACAATCCTGCGGCGCGGCAAAGAAGTGGCACGGCGCGATCACAGCAACAATGGCTAGGCGCCGCTGCCGTGGCAAACGGGGTTGTGGTTTTTTAAAAACTGAAGTGTGCGAACACGCCGTTGGGTGCGTGTGCATATCCCGTGGAAACTTGGGGGGAAAAAACCTTTTTGTGACGAGACATGGGCGGGCGACGTATGCCACGAACTACCACCGGAAACGCGATCAGACGCCCGCCCTTGACCCACGGTTTTCGGAAACTAGTACCTCGGAGGTACTAGTTTTTTATGCCGCATCTTCGGCAGGAAGCCTCGGGTTAGCCACGGGAGCTCTACGCTTCCCAGATGTTGCAGTGTGATCGCGCCCGGAAAATCCGCCTATATTCCGTCTCTGTAGTATGGCTAATGCTCCATGTGACCGCAGCCTTTATCTGTCTTCTGGCCCTGAAAAATAGAAGTAGTTATGTATGGGAGGTATAAAGAATTTTTTTTTAAAAAAAAGAACACAATATATAGGCAAAATTATTGTAATGTCTTCAGCCAGTTATATAATATGAAAATATACCTCTTAATGGCAGTCGACATAATAAATATAACATTCAGCTGATATGGTAGTCTGCCATTTTGAGGTGCATTTTTTTATCATTGTATAATGACGAACAGTACTTCTGTTTTCTGCTACTGTGGAGGAAAGTCTCCTTTGTTTTTCTTCTTTTGGCCTTAGGACAGGTGGGCATATGAGACAGGGCCTTCTCAGTGGTTGCCCCCCCCGGCTGTGGAATTCTTTGCTTCCCAAAATTAATTTGGCTCCATTCATGCTATTCATACTAAATACTCTCTGCATAGTAAATACTACTCTGCATAATAAATACAGTGGAAAAGAGATGTAAACCCTCCAAAGAGGGTCTTTTCACTGGGGATATTTGTAGCAACCCCACCCCGCTTTCCACCTTGCCAGTAGTCCCTTATGTGAGGTCCATGTGCAAAATGCGTATGCCATTAGTATAAATTATAGTCTCTGCTATAGACACCTGTGGCAGAGCACATGTTTTGCATGCTGAAGGTCCCAGGTTCCCTGCCATCTCCTATAAAAAGATCTTGGCTAGCAAGTGTTGGAAGAGACCCTTATCTGCTAGAGTCCCTGGAGAGTAGCTGCCAGTAATATCACTGAGTTAGATGGAACAGTAGAAGAGAAAAGATTGGATTTATACCCTGCCTTTCACTACCCAAAGGAGACTCAGAGTGGCTTACAATATTTTTTCCCATTCCCTCCCCACAACAGACACCCTGTGAGGTAGGTGGGGCTGAGAGAACTCTTTCAAGAACTGCTTGTGAGAGAACAACTCTGAAAGAACTTTTAACTGACCCAAGGTCACACCAGCAGCTGCATGTGGAGGAGTGGGGAATCAAATCTGGTTCTCCCAGATTAGAATCTGTGCTCCTAACCACTACACCAAACTAGCATGACTCTGTATAAGGCATTTCCATGTGCTCAGATGCCACTATCTGCCTTCACCTGTACACTCAAACCTGGCAAAGCATCAGGTGCTCTTCTTGGCTGCAATATTCCTATGCAGGCACATGGTGGCACTATAGCCATATTTTGTGTACAACACATTGGATGAATTTCTCCATCATCAGTAGGGCTTTTGATTTTATTTTTAATAGCATCCTCTCAAGATTCAAGGCTATCCACTTTTTTAAAAACTTAGGGACGTTGCTATGCAGCATAAGCAGTATTTTTTCAAAGCAAAGAATGTGAAAGACCTTTGCAGTGCACAAGTACTTTGAAGAACTTTCTGGATTTTTGTCCAGTGGCCATTCAGCCCCACAGGCAGATTACAGATTCGCATACACCAAGGCCTGTGCAGAGACCAAGGCAACATAATTATTTCCTGCAATCTGCCTCATCTTATCAGTTCAGTAGACCTGATCAGTTTCGATCCGAATCCAGATTCGAAAAGTAAATAACTTTAACTATTGCGGCCAATGGGTCTCTTAATCTTCCAAGACTTCATTTACCCCCATAAAGCTATCAAAAATAATGACCATCAATACATCTGGTAACTGTGAGTTCTACAAGTTAATTAACAACGGACCCTAAATTACTGAAAAGATTTTGCAAAAAAAAGGAGTCAGTCGTGCCAGATTTCTGTGCTCTTTGGGGGCTCTTTGGGGGCTGTGTTATACGAGGCGCTAAACAATGATGTAGCACTCATGCCACATTAAAAGCACATCGAGTGCTGAGTTGTATTGGCAGTGGGACTCAGACTAAAATGGGAAGTCATCATGGGATAGCCTGAATCTGAGGCTCTTGCCCCTTTAGAAAGAACTGTCTGCTGTTTTTCCAAAGTACAGAATTCTGATTTAGCACTATATACCAATTATTATTTTACTGGTACTTCTCCCTTCTTCTACTAAAGCTCTGAGTTTATAGCAATGTACACAGGCCCCCCTTTTATCTTCACGACAACCCTGGGAGGTAAACTAGGCTAAGAAAGTGTGACTAGCTTAACATTTCCCAGTGAGCCTTGAAGTTAAGTGCGGATTTGAACCTGGGCTCTCCTAATCCTCAGATTCACCTCTACCCCCTCTCCCAATATTGTCCTTTTAAAGCAAGAAGTAATGTAGCAATACATGGAAACATGACTCCAGAAAAGCAAAAAGCCATCGACCTAGATACTGCTTCTCTGAATGTAACCTGAGAGAAGAATGGGAATTTATGCTTAAAGTTAATGGAGAATGGAAATTAATGGTTAAATTAATTCTTAGAGCTAGATTTATTGACAGCAGTTAATCAATATAGCTAATTCTCAACATGGCCAAATCTGTGGATACTTAAACCCAGAGACTGGAGCCATGAATGGCCAAGTCAGATTGTTTTACAAAGCTGAAAAATGCTGCTGCCTCAGGTTTGCGGGGGGGGGGGGGGGGATAAGAACTCAACAACAACAACAACATTGGGGTTTAACCACCCCACAGAAGCAGTGCCCGTAGCTTTAAGGAATGAATCCCCTCAGTGGCCACTGCTAGGCAACCATAACAGTATTTCTAGACTTCAAGCCTTGGTTTTTGTCAGTCAAAGGCAGGGGAGGGGCAGGGCCCTTTCCAGGGCTGTTTTGGCCTTTGAAGGACAATTTAGGGACAGGCCAATCACCCGGTGGCTTGCTTCTCTCTGACTTCCATGACTCACCCAGTCCTGGCTGCCTGCTACTGTTCAGTAGCAGCCATCCCACCAAATTCAGTGTGGTATAGTGGTTAGAGTTTCAGACTAGGCTCTGGGAGACCCAGGTTTGAATCACCATTTTGCCATGGAAGCTCATGAGGTGTCATCATGCTAAGGACATCACGCTCAGCGACTCCCCCGACCCCCCGGGGAACAAAGAGGACCTGGCAACCCTACAGGGATAATATAGTCTTGGGGACGAGGGGTGCTGCACCAGAAAAGAGCAAGGAGAGAAGGAAATGTTCAGCCTGGAAGTGTTTAGAATTTCTATAGGTTTTTTTTTACAAATGTGGAAAGCAGCCTCAATGAACCGAAACAGCACCACTGGAAGAGATGTTTCATCCCCTTCCCAATGTTTTTCTGATTCAAATCTTTTTATCTATCCCTGGAACTGCTATTTATCCCCAAAGGTCAGAGGCAATGCACGTAATGGAGGAATGAATGAATAAATGTACACGTATCACTTTTTGTGAAAAATGGGGGGGGGGGGATGTGCCAGCACACAGCCGAGCCAGTGTTTGATATGCTGTTATAGACACTTGTCATAGAAATTGGAAAGCTGGAAGGAAGATAGCAACACTGCTGCTCTGACTTGGCTTAAATGGTGTATCTGTCATTACCCTATGATGAAATCTCTTCCACCTTGCAAGTTTTTAGCACGCTGAAGAGTTAAGCTGTTCCAGCTTGGATCAAAAAGAGAAGAATTAATGCCACATCACTGTCAAACATTGGTGTGCGGGGATATGAATGATAAATCTCAGTCAACAGGGATTTCTTTCCCATTCACCTCCCTCGTGAGACAAGCGCTGAGTGAGAGCTGCTGAGCATTTACTGAAGTTAAAAAAAGAAAGAAAGAAAAATGAATGGTAATTGCAGCAGTGGAATGCAGCCCCCCCGGGACAGCAAAGTGAAGTTGTCTCAGATACTAAATCTGTTTTTTTTTTTTAATTAAGTAGCATAAGCTGAATTTCAGATTTAAACTCCCACACGAAATTTCTGTACTGCTGGATTTGGTAGGGTTGCCCATTTCCAGATGGGGCCTGGAGATCTCCTGCTATTAGAACTCATCTCCAGCTGACAGAGATCAGCTCCCCTGAAGAAAAAGGATGCTTTGAAAGGGGGACTCTATAGTATTGTACCATGCTGAGGTCCCTCCCCTCCCCAAACCCCACCCTCTCCAGGGTCTACTCCCCAACTCTCCAGGTATTCCCCAATCCAGAACTACCAAGTGTTTGCTTTGTGTTTTTGCAGAGGACGATTGCATGCTGCTGTTATTGCTAGTTTTTCTTATGATGATGATATGTGATTTAATGCTTAAGCTATTACCTGCTATCGCAATAAAGTGAAACAAACTCCAGTAGTGAAATCACTAAAAGTCACTTGGTGCAGTACAATCATGTGTTCCGAAAACAATTTGGGGCCCAAGGTCCAAAGTGGATCAGGCATGCAAGGGCAGGGCCCGCTGTGGAAACATGTCACGGGGCCTGCCTCAAGCTACCTCCTGTTGACCAGCCGTCTCAGGTGATGACATTGACTAAGCAGATCACTGCTGTGAGTTCCGCCCCTTCTAACCACCGTGTGGCTGGCCCAAGGCCGGCAGCCTCCTTCCTTGTCTGCTCCAGTCTAGACCTGGTCTGCAAACCCAGCACCCAGGAAGTTGGGGCCGGGGCTCGGTGCAGTATAAATTCTCATGGGAAGCCACGTTTGCTGCTGCAGCAGAAAGCAGACTTACAGTACCTAAAATCTTAACAGGGGTACTTAAACACCAGTTTCTGTGGGTTTAATACCTCTTCACCAGATGTATGAAGTGAATCCTGAATCAGCAGATACACACAAAAGAGAGAGGAAAAATGGTACTGCCAGAGTTAAATGGCTTACTAGAACAATGGAGACTGTCATCATTAATTACACCAGTTGCGAACGATCACTTTGTTAACTAGCACAGCATGGAAATATTAAATAAGTAAATTATACTTACATGAGAAAATTCCAGTGCACAGAGGTTGAGTTAATCGATGAGTAAGATGTTATGTTGATGTTTTAAAATCTACCCTTTTTTTCTCCTCTCGGGAGGAAAGCGATGGCGAACCTAAACAGCATGATAAAAAGTAGAGACATCACCCTGCCAACAAAAGTCCGCATGGTCAAAGCAATGGTATTCACAGTAGTCATGTATGGCTGCGAGAGCTGGACTATAAGGAAGGCCGAGCGCCGAAGAATAGATTCTTTTGAACTATGGTGCTGGAGAAGACTCTTGAGAGTCCCTTGAACTGCAAGGAGATCAAATCAGTCAATCCTAAAAGAAATCAACCCTGACTGTTCCCTGGAAGGCCAGATAATGAAACTGAAGCTCAAATACTTTGACCACCAAATGAGAAGGGAGCACTCACTGGAGAAGACCCTGATGCTGGGAAAGATTGAAGGTCAAAGAAGACGGGGACGGCAAAGGATGAGATGGTTAGACAGTGTCATAGATGCAACGAACATGAAATTGAGCAAACTCCAGAGGACGGCGGAAGACAGGAAGGCCTGGCGTGATCTGGTCCATGGGGTCGCGAAGAGTCGGACTTGACTGTGCGACTGAACAACAACAAAAAACCTACTGGAATCATACTATTTGGCTTACTTCTTTCTTAAATACAATATATATGTATATTAAATTATACTATATGCATTTCATGGCCTTTTAATCACCTGTTCTCAACATCCATCCCCCCCTTCCTAGTTTATTACAAGATTGCAAATAAGGCCTGAAATTCTAGATAGTCAAAGGTGGAGGCATTGTTTGCTGGGCTTTTTTTTTTTTTGATCTTGTGAAGAAACAGCCATTCTTTGATACATCTTTTCTACCTTTTCCAGGGTCAAAATCTCAGAACTGTCTGTGGAACACCATTATTGGTGGGCTCACAGGGAATCTTAAGGAAAAGCAGAAACCAACTATCATCTACGACCCAAGGCCTCCTGAAGAAATCTTGGCAGACGAACTGCCGCCTGTCGAGAGTCCTGATGCGCTAGTGAAAACATCGTTCAGGTTTGATTGACACAGATGTGTAATTTTTTAATGTTGATTTTTCTTAGTCATTAGAACACTGAGGTTTTGGTATTCAGCCAGATAATCAGAATGCTATTGTATTCTCCAGTATGCTGGTAATAGTAATGGAAGTTTAGATTAGTAGCTACTGATTTTCCTCCTAGCATGTAATCTTAAAGCAGTGCACCCTAGCATGTCCCTGTGCTTTGGCTACGGACACAGACTTTCTAATGTAGGGTTGCTCACCCTTGGCAACAAGTAGAAAGGAAAATGACGTGCCAATGGCATGATGTCACTTCTAGCAAATACCCAGAAGTGACATCATGTTGCTAGTGTGATGCTGATGTGATGCTTCACAGTTTGGACAAAATTCTTTTGCCCAGATCCCAGAGTATCATGTCGACACCATGCCAGTGATGTCCTTTCCAGGTATTCAGGTATTCCAGTGTCTTTTTCTGACATCCCCCCCCCCAGTGGGTAACAAAGAGGGGGGCAAGGAGGTCGCCCACTGAAGCAAGAGACCTGGCCTCCCTACTCTGACTTCTCTCTGTGACCATACAGGGAGCCAACACTGTCTTTCTTAGGAAACTGAACTGAAATAGAATCTCTTCCCTAAGCAAAGAACGGATTGCCCTCCTGTCATGGAAACCATTTTCTGAGTGTCCCTGCCCCCCCCCCCCGAAGCCATTTTGCAGTGGGGCCCACCACCGTTTCCCAAAATTCCAAATGTGCCCGCTGATTGAACAAGGTTGGGGAACTCCTGAATTCAAGTTCAAAGCAAGAGTTTATTAGCAAGAGCTAATTATTAGCAATAGTTTATTATATCAGATATAGCCCTTGAAAGATTGTTTTATATTCTGGTAAATCCACTGCTTTGTATAGTATATATGCTATAGTACTGAACTGACAAGATAGGTTACTACTGTGTTGCCTGTAAAATTTTTACATCAGTTGTTTCAGCAAAAGCAGAACTTAAAAAATGACATCAGTATTGCCCTGTTGAGTTCAATACTATTTAACATTCTTCTAGCAGCACTGTTGATATGTGTGGGTTGATGGAGAAAAAAGTGGACTAGTTCACCTGGGTCTTGGAACTGGGCATGGCCATACAGGGCTAGCATCTTCTGTCCATTTCCATTTCTGTGCTGGTGTGGCACTGCGTGTGACCTTTGCTAACTCAGGTTAAAATGAACAGAGAGTAGTCATAAACTAGGGAAAGGAGAGCCCCCAAGTTGGTCTTGATTGCTAAAATTTGGTTAAAAATGCGGACTAGAACCGTCTATTATTATCTGCCAGTTGCTTCTCTTACCATCCGTTTGTTAGTCAGGCAGTCAGCCAGAGGAGTGGCTTTAAGACTCGATCTTTGGGCATTTGATTTGGGGTCTGATTGCTGGGTTTCATGAGTGATTTGTTCTGCTGGTAACTGCAGTTAGATTTTTGGAGGAGTTTCTTTTAAAGTAAAACTTGAATTTTGTTGTTGCATAGTTGGTAGGTTTTTTTGGTCTCATTATATAATTTATGATTTATTATATAATTATATAATATAAATTTACCATATGCTAATGAGCCCCTGCTTTCTTCTAACAAGTTCACACAGGAGTCCTGTGCTTCATTATAACGGGAACAAACGTGAGACTCCTGAGTCAGGTTCTCCCCACTTAGAAGTTGTTTTTCAGCTAGGGCCGCAACAGTAGTATGGGCATTTCACTGCACAAGTTTTTGATTTGTCGCCTAAAGTTCTTGTGGCTTATAGTACCATCTGAACACTGAGACTGCATTCATTCATCCACCTAGAATTCTTTAACTGTAGAAATGTCAACTTACCTGTCTACGGGGCTATCTAGCATTTTTAAAAGAAGTGCATAGTGGCACCAAATATTCAGATTCTTTGGGGAGTCTTGTTTTTATAAACCATATACACTTATGCAAAGCAATGAGACGTTCTCTCCGAGCTGCCTGTGGTAAAATCTGTGCCTGTAACATCTTATTGCTAAGCCATCCAGTTCACTCCTCCTCCTTCTGCATGCATTATTCAATATGCATGTGAAGTTTCCCATAATTAGTGTTAGGACATGTGATGCAGCACTATCAAGGCTTGGATGTGTATATGTGTGATAAGCCAGTATGGTGTAGTGGTTAAGTGCACGGACTCTAATCTGGCAGAACCGGGTTTGATTCCCCACTCCTCCACTTGCAGCTGCTGGATGACCTTGAGCAAGCCATAGTTCTTTCAGAGGTGTTCTTGAAAAAGAGCAGTTTCTGTCAGAGCTCTCTCAGCCCCACCTACTTTACAGGGTATCCGTTGTGGGGAGGGGAAGGGAAAGGGATTGTAAACCACTCTGAGATTCCTTCGGGTAGTGAAGGGTGGGGTATAAATTCAATCTCTTCCTCCACCTTAATTCCATGATTGTAGGTATATGATTGGCCACTGTGTGAGACAGGATGCTGGACTAGATGGTCCATTGGTCTGATCTGGAAGAGCTATTCTTATGCTCTTATGGTTCCTGGTTCCACATATATATCATTTGTATACATCTGTCTGTACTTGTAATGTTCCACACATCCTGTGTCTTTCCATTATCCCACTATTCCAGAGTCTGGGGAGGTTCCAGCCCATGTTTTAATTGTGATTTAAAGTATCTCTACCCAAACCGATCCTGGTCAAGTCAGCCATGCACAAATATATTAATTTCCATTTTTCATGGAGATGCTGAGAAATTCACCAAAAAAGTGAGCAACTTCCGATTATACCTTGTTTACAATTCCCATTTTGTATTGAGCTGAATGCCACAGATGCTCATCTTGATAACTGGCCTGCAATTCACCCTGTGTAGTTTTTGTCTGCGCAGGGGTGGCATTCGGCGGGGTGGCTGCTGCTGCCCAGATAGTTGCTGCTGATACACACTCATGGTTGACTGGCTTGCTTGCATTACATACGCCCCAGGATCATCATAGGTAAGTCATGCACCATTTAAAGTCAGTTACATAGCCTGTGTGCTGCTTAATGCCACTGCTGGCATTCATCAGGCTGGCTCAGAGCTGACTGAATGGAGCTGCAGTTGCCAGATACCCAGGAATAGATATCATCAGTTAACATAAACTAACACAAACACACTCATCCTTGGGAGTCAGTCGGAACCAGGGCTGGAACACTCGAAACAAACCACTCATTTCCCCCAACTCCCCACTGCAGCGGGATTGACGTGGGTAAAGAAGCCACCCCTTTTGCTCAGAATTTATCAGTTCCAGATTGGAATCAAGACAACATCATTTGGGAACTTTAAAATCCAGGGAGAAAGTTGGATGATTTTGAAAGGATTGCTAGCAGACGCTGTTTAGAAACATGAGCTGGCCAACTACATGTAACTCTGGCCTGAGTCAAGGTGTGCAGTGCAAACACCTTCACCTTCAATGAGACACTGAAATTCCACTAGAGGGCGGAAGGGAACAATAGATAATGTACACAGTTATTTGTGGTGTGAGAACAGTTGCTTGGGTTTCCATTCTGCCCAAGGCCAGATCAGTCTTGCACTACAGGGTTGTAATTTCTGTCTGAAAACTTCAGAGTTGCCGCAGAGTTACAGCAGTCTTTTTCTTTTGAAGACTCACGTTTATGTGGATGTTGCTTGCTAATAATGAAATGTTTTACCTTAACCCAAAAGTTCAGACTACCATACATGCCCCCCTCTTACAATAACCCTGGCATCGCCCCATGGATTCTTTTTTTTGGCAGAGTTAGGTTTGCCAACCTCCAGGCGGTGGCCAGAGACCTCCTGGGATTACAACTATTCTCCGGGCAATAGAGATTAATTCAGATGGAGAAAATGGCCGCTTTGGGAGGAGGACTCTGGCCTTATACTCCATTGATGCCCCTCCCTTCCCCAAAGCCCAGCCTCCCCAGGCTCCACCCCTCAAATCTCCAGGTATTTCCTAACCCGGAGCTGGCAACTGTAGGCGGAGTAGGGTTTTGAGCCTGGGTCTTCATGGGGTAAAGTCTAGCATTGTGCCACTCTGGTTGATCTTTGTAGTCAACAGCTCTCTCACTGTTGTCATTAGCAAGGGTCATCTTTGAAACATTAAAGCTCATTAAAGGTAAGTTCAAATTCTTCTTTTGTGCCGTATATTCCCCCCCCCGATTCTCAAGAGATTATAAATGTATTGCAGATAAGTGTAGTGGTTAACTGCGAGGACTCTATTCTGGGAGACCCGGGTTTGATTCCCCACTCCTCCACTTGCACCTGGCTGGATGACCTTGGGCAAGTCATAACTCTGGCACAGCTGTTCTTGAAAAAGAGCAGTTTCTGTCAAGAGTTTTCTCAGCCCCACCCACCTCACAGGGTGTCTGTTGTGGGGAGGGGGAGGGAAAGGAGTTTGTAAGCCGCTCTGAGATACCTTTGGGTAGTGAAGGGCGGAGTATAAATCCAATCTCTTCTTCTTCTTCTTCTTCTTCTTCTTCTTCTTCTTCTTCTTCTTCTTCTTCTTCTTCTTCTTCTTCTTCTTCTTCTTCTTCTTCTTCTTCTTCTTCTTCTTCTTCCTCTTCCTCTTCCTCCTCTTCTTCCTCTTCTTCTTCTTCTTCTTCTTCGTGAAAGGCCACAGGTGAAAGTCTTGCCTGTACGTATATAGAATTGTCAGTAACTCTGGGGTCTAATCTTGTGAGATGTAAGACTAGTAAATATAAAGCAAGAGGACAGATGACTGGATGCGAGCGATTCAGTTAACAAAATCCATTTGTGGCCTTTATTATGTACTTGATGAAGATAACTCCATAATACATGATGCATATATAAGGATCAATGTGAGGTGAGGATCAAACCTCAGAATCTATTTTCATGGCTAAGGGGGAGATGTGAGAGTATTGTTGTTAATACCTCTTATTTATATTTTCAGTATTGCATGAACATATTATTTTTAATATTGCATGATCCATAGTTATGCAACAAATAAGCCAGGTTTCTGCCTGGATAGTTTATGATCAAATTTTGATTGATTGGGAGACAGGA